TAACAACTAAAAGTAAATATTTTATACGATTTCCTTGACGTAGGGTGTCGTGGGGAGTCGTAAATGACAAATTGGCGTTGTGACACAAGATTCAATCTTTTCTTGTGATGTAATGTGGCATAGTTCACAACTGTCTGCTACACCTCACGACACCATCGCAGAAAGTCTAGCATGTTTAATTTTTTCCCTGATCTTCACGACGAGCTCTGTCACGTGGGTGACACTAGACAATAGAAGCACATAATTTATCAGTTATATCTGCAGGTGCTGGTGTTAATACATGGGTCAAGTCAAAAAATAGGCTGCACATTCACTTATGGGTGGGTCGCCGGTGGATAAGATCAATCATTGATATCTGATTGATCTTATCTGATAAAGTGGCACAAATTTGCAGACATCTTCTTTCTAACAACTTGTTTCTGAGTTCTCTTAGCCTTCCAAACGAGTTCGTTCTTCCGAGGTATTCTGCAAACATGTTCAGTGTTGCAAATACATTATAAAAGCCTGTTTTGCTTATTCAAATTACTTAATTAAACTGGCAATGTATGATTTTGTCATTAAAAATGAAATGTTTAATATAAATTTCTCTGAAATTGTGAATATATCACTGTTATTTAGGCTAGGTTTTATTTTATTTAACAAACCATGGCTGGTTTTGAACCACGTCACCTTAGATGCTATTCGTTATTCTTGTCTATCTAGTAGATGACTGATGAACAAAAAATACATTAAAGTTGAGATGCAAATTATACCAAACAAAATTCATTTAAAAAAAGAATTTTTTTCCAAGAAAAATATACAAATCATATTTTTGTTCCTGCCCGTACATTACTCAGCTGTGCAGGTGAATGTTTTTTTTTTCTACGCTCAGTTGAAAATAGGAATTTAATGAATGCTTCACTGTAATTGTTGTATCACAAACCTCTGTCATATATTTGTCTTTTTTAAAAAATATATCATTATTTTAAGATTATGTCTTGAGCATTTGGTTTGTCCTTGCTGATAATGTGCTTTAATTTTTCCGTCTCACTTAAGGCAAGTTCAGGCGAGGGAGTGTTCAATAAGCAACCCTAGCTGGAAAATATGCATTTAGATGTAAAAGAAACTATCTTAACATTAAAAGGAAAAATAGGTTTGATCCCATCAATGTCATAATGAATGCCCTTAAATAATGTAGCCTAGCTGTCAGCAAGCGTGAGCGTTTATTGAGATTGACTTAAGATAGGAAAAACATTGAAATTAGGATGAGAAATATTGTTATAGCAACACTTGTGACTGCTTTGGGAAATAATGCTCGTCGTAGACATCGCGGGATGACTGATCGTGAAAGAACGTGTAGTCTGGCCCATTTGTTACCCATGACAAGTCAAGATTTTATCAAGATTTATAAAAAAAAATAATAATAATAATAAATAAAAATATTTAATTATTTAAAAAAAAAAAACGCAGAATTTGACATGGTGACTTTCGTAACCGACAATAAAAATAGTGTGAACTGACCGGGGCTTTACAAACCTTTCAGATAGTATTGTCTTAGCTTGGGGTTTCGGATATGGTGATGTCCTTTGACGCCCTCCTGTCCAACACTCCTCCCCATCGCACCCGGAGCACCAATGGAGCACTGAGCAGAAATGAAGCCTGGAGTCTGCGAAATTCCAGCTGGCAGCTTTGATCCCAGTCTAATGACAAAATGACAGGTCGCTTTGTGACTTAGTTTGATCTATACATTTTTAACGTTTCTGTTTTATATCTATCACTTTTGACCCAACCAGACCGTACCTGTTTTTAACATTTCCAAAATAGCTGGCCCTGCTCTTGTCTCTCGGAGCTCTGTGGTCCATGAGGTCTCACTGCTGAGATTGAGAACTGGTCAGTTTAAAAAAAAGTTCACACTTCCAGTGCAGGAATCAGCGATGAAATGACTGCCCACTGCTGCGTCGGCATCTGGAATACTTCCTCTTCCTCCTCACCATCCTCATCATCATCAGCATTCTCTGGACTCTACAGTAAACCTGCAATGAGACCAAGAACGGTGAGTGTCCGTAATTGAGTGTTATTTTATTTTAGTTAATTGATAAGGCCTGTTTCATTATTTCTTACCTGAAAAACTGACATTTTATACATTTTACCATTTACAGAAACAGACACCCATCAAAATGCCATTCTTTCAAAGTTTGTAATTCATATACCAAAAACATCAGGTACATTATTAAGAATCATTAATTCATTCTCCTTCAGCTTAGTCCCTTTTTTTATCAGGGGTTACCACTGTGGAATGATACACCAACTATTATGGCATACGTTTTATGCAGCAGATGCCCTTCCAGCCACAACCCAGTACTGGGAAACACCCATTTACTTTCACACACACACACACACACCCTATGGCTAATTTAGCTCATTCAATTCATTTATACTGCATGTCTTTGGACAGTGGGGGAAACCGGAGTCCTCGGAGGAAACCCACACCAGCACAAGGAGAACATGCAAACTCCACACAGAAATGCCATCTGGCCAAGCCGGGACTCAAATCACCTACTTGCTATGAGGTAACAGTTCTTACCACTGTGCCACCCTAATAAGGATCATTTGATTACATATTAAAATACTCTATTTAAAGGCAGAGTAGCTAATTTTGCTTCTAGAGGCGGCTTATTTACAACAACAATAAAGCTGTAGTTTGATAACAGCGTGACTGAGTGTGAGAATTATGGGAGTTGTCGTCTTCATTACATTCTATACGAAACACTAAAATCTGAAGCTGAAGTATTCAAAACTTATTATCATGATAGTATGAAGCAGAACAAAGCTGAAAGCCGTGGAAGCCAATTGAGATCGCTGAAGCAACTTCTGATGAGAGAAGAGCATAATGTGGCATGAAAGCAGCGGAGCTTTTATTATGCCACAGTCATTCTGCCATTTACGGTTCTTCAGCTTATAATCACAAACAGAAGAAGCAATGCTGTTCATACAAAATTCATTCATTCATTCATTCACTTTCTTTTTGACTTAGTCCCTTTATTAATCAGGGGTCATGACAGTGGAATGAACCGCCAACTTATCCAGCACATGTTTTATGCAGCAGATGCCCTTCCAGCTGCAACCCAGTACTGGGACACACTAAATTAATTTGGCATTTTTGTTATAATGCTGCTCTGTGCAGTCTAATAAAACACACAACATATCAAAAAAGTATCTTTGGTGATTCCCTGTTGTCTATGAAACTAGAAATCATAGTATATTATGTCATTACCATGTTGACAGAACACAGCCTGTGTCACCTGTTGAAATTGCTTATTTGGTGTAATGTTCAGTTGAAGTCAGAATTATTATCCCCCTTTGATATTCTTTCTTTTTTAAATATTTTCCAAATTATGTTTAACAGAGCAAGGAAAATTTCACAGTATGCCTGATAATATTTTTTATTCTGGAGAAAGTCTTGTTTGTTATATTTTGGCTAGAATAAAAGCAATTTCAAAATCATTAGCCCATTTGAGCTTTTTTTTTTTTTTTGAGAAAATTAACAGGGGGTAATAATTCAGGGGCTTTGATAATTCTGACTTCAACTATGCATATAAGTCAGCAACATATATAACACTGTTCCAGTGCTTTTAATGTAAATAAATCTTACACATTGCGTCTTTAAGGAGGACACGGTTCAAACCTAAAACATGGATAACCATTTTAAATCTTTTTTTCCCCACTTTCCTAAAATTTAGGATGATTCTTTTATTCATTCAATATACAAAAATGTTATGCTGAACGATTTAGGTATTTTATTTCACCCATATTGTCATATTTACTTTTCACAAATGTGATTTGAAACATTTAAGCAGACGTTTGTTCTATAAACAATTAAAGCCATGCAAATAAAGTAAGAACCCGCTAAATATATACCCACATACACATTTAATAGGCTACTCTGGAAGTGCATGTGGTCTAACAAAACCCAAATAAGCGGATTTTTGCAAACTGACTCGCTTATGCAAACATTAAATTTCAAAGTCCAGAAATGATGTGCTTGATCGAAGCAATATAACATAAAAGAGACGTCGAAGCAACAATCAGGCCCAAAACACAGCTGAAGTTGGGGATTTTTAATGCAGTGCTGAAGGCCGAGCACCATCACAATGTCGCACTTCTGTGTCCAGCAGCAACTCTAACGCATATAAACATCATTAATAATGCTTAATGTCACTAACAACTGTCTCTTTTCTCAATAACACAGAAACTGATGATTAATGTCTGCATCTGATTCAAATTCTTCAGCAGTCTAAGATGGATCATTCATTGTGCTTGGCTCTTTTGCGCGTTTCTCTCAACTTGGCTCTAAACTTTGGTATTAATGCTGTAAAACCACCAAATATATCAACCGAGCTTACCTTGGTCTTTAATGATGCCAGAAAATGAGCAGCTGATCGGGACGCTCCGCATGATGGGCTGTCATGTGTTTTGATGCCGCTGCAGTGAATCTGTCACCAGTCATGAGATAAGAGCACAACACTGCGATCAAAATCTCCTAAATTCTCAAGTACATCAGCTAAATGTCCACATAGAATGCATTGGATAAAATATATATCTTTATATGAGTGAATCCATATTTGTAGCTATCAGTGCGTTATAGCTAAGCAGCTATATTCACTTTTTAATAAGGTGACTTTTATTTTATTTTCGATCACCTAGGGTGCGTATAACAGGTGTAAATAAAAACAAATTTACTTTTTTGTAAACATAAAAATCTCTAATCTACTGTTATAAACATTCGCTTGTTTCAAAACTCTATAATTTAATCTTACGTGCATTTACTTACGTTATTTACTTTTATTTTGTATTTAAAACGCTTCTGCCAAGGACAAATTCTATTGGACTGTGAGGTAACATATGCGGAATTTGAGCCAATCGCAGAACGATGTTCCCACACACGTTCTTCCGACTCATGCACTTCTTGCAAATTAGCCGGGGGCGCGCTGGGCTATCGGCTAAACGGCTAACGGAAGAGGGATAAAGGAAGATCAGACATTTCTCACACAGTAAAGCAGAGTAATCTGCACCAGTGCAAAAAATATTCTGATCTAATCTTACCACACACGGTAGGTCTTCTATTTCATATCGATGCATAGTAAGCAGGTGCACTTTATGAGGTCGTTTGTTAGCTGAGATGCTAAAGGAAGAAATGAGGGTCACAGGACGCTTTTGGTTTGTTTACCTTGTTTACGTTATAAATTTTAGTGTATTTTAAAGTGTTCTCAATTTTAAGTGTTCAGTGTTAAATAGCTTTTTTTAAAACCCTAATCGCCTGTTCAATTAATTAATTATTTTAATTAGTTCACTCTTATTTATTTTATTTCTTTATTTAATGTTTTGTTTACTTGACTTGTATTTTACTTGGGTATATTTAATGTAATAGCTGCTGTGTATTGTAAAACATCAGTAATTACACTGTGCCCTCATCACTTTATTTATTTTGTTGACTAAATTTGCACAATCCGTAGCATAAGGGAGGCACTTAATATGCAGCCACTGCAAAAACATAATTGCTGTGCTCATTTAAACTGTGCATAATTGATAAGCATTGACAGTGGTTTTTTATAAGTAGTATTGACTATTTCAGGTTTTTCATTTAATTTTTTTTAGGCCAAGGAACTCCCATCCCAGATGAACATGTTCAGTGTGCTGTAATATAATCAAAACCCCACTACAGTCTAGGCAGCGGTGCTTTCTTTCAACACTTCAAAATGGAAACAGAAGCAGTGAGTAGATAAACAGCTTAAAGAACTGTTTTATTTATGTTTTGGTAATGTTTATGTATTTTTTGGTACTTATTTTCTGTTTATTTGCTCCTCAGGAGGTTATCCCTATTTGGCAAAATAAACCGCATGGATCAACTCGTAGCGTGGTGAGACGAATCGGCTCTACGCTGCCTCTTAAACCATGTCCCAGAGCTTGTTTCCAGGTATGGGAATGAAAAATAAAATAAGTGGTCTATACAAGTTTCTTGAACTCAGAATAGTGGACTGCTAGAAACTCCAAGGTTTTATTCCCAGAGAAAACAAGAACTGTTGAAAAAAATCTTCAATGCAGTAAATGTTTGTATATTAAATGCTATACAAATTTGTTTTTACATGTGGTGATGAAATTATAAAAAAATTTTTCCAAGGATTTTAGGTCTTTTAGATTTTAAATATTAGATGACAATTTAAATATTATGCTTGGAAAACGTACATTCGGAAACTTATTTAGATATTATTAATTAATGGTTTGGTTTAAATTTAAAAAACAAAGTATATTAGATTTTTTTGCAGGAAAACTTACTGTCATATACAGTAAGTTGTGTGACTAACATATTTTTAATTAGCTAATGATGTACAGATTTAATTTAACATATTTAAAAAAAAAAAAAAAAGTTAATATTCCTTTTATACCCTGTGGGCAGTCAGCTATGACTGCAAATAGTCAGTGTGATTTTATTTGTTTACTCTTTAGACTGATTAAATTAGAGCCATATTTAAGATAAAGAAAGTTGTTTTTTATCCACCAAGACTGAAATAAATCTTGTTTATTATTATTGTGTATATAGTAAAATCTTTCAAAAAGTTATTTAGAATTTATAAGGGTAAAAATGTTACTTTATAGAGATGCTTTAAATCAGGGGTCACCAATCTCATTCCTGGAGGTCCGGTGTCCTGCTGTATTTAGCTTGCCTCAACACACCTGCCTGGGTGTTTCAAGTATACCTAGTAAGACCTTGATTACCTTGTTCAGGTATGTTTGATTAGTGTTGGAGCAAAAATCTGCAGGACACCGGTCCTCCAGGAACAAGTCTGGTGATCCCTGCTTTAAATGGTCATGACCCCCCCCCCAATCCCCAGGTCTGAATGCAGACACAGTAGATAGTGCAGCAGGTCTCTTTCCCTCTCTATTCCAACAATTAACCCTGCCGGTAATCCAGAGGATTTTAAACATTGGCGTACACAGCAGCACTGACAGAGGTGATGTGTCTGAATGGTAACAAACTCAAGTGATAAAAGACAAAGTCTGCCATTCTTTAACTCTCGTACGGCTCTCCCGACAAAACTGCTTTCTGCAAACAATCAGCTTTGCTGTATCGGCCCTGACAGAATCGCGAAGAAAAACATGCAACAAACCCTGTGGATCATGGAAACAAACACATACGACCCGTGCATGGACGCAGTCTTACCCAGTCAATGGCTGTCTCACAGCTTGGCAGGTCTGTCTTGCCTTCGGAAAGCTTGTGCTCTCATGAATAATTAAGAAGCAGGGTCTTCTCATAGGATAAGGAAAACTTCGCTATGAATAATAATGAGAAACCGAGGCGTCATCACTCCACTAGCAGATTCGAGCTACGTCACCGATTTTGATTCTGCCACAAAAGTATTTTAAACCTGGAAGACTAAATTAGTTGACAAGCTCAAAATTATCCAGTTTTTCCCACAATTAGAGCTGATAGGTGCTAATGTTGTCTTACCTGATGCTCAAGACACGCAAATTTGTAAAAATGTAAAAAAGAAATACTCCAGGGTGTCTTGAACCTTTAAAGAGATGTTTTTGGTCTTATGTTTTCCAGGAACTCCCAGGCCTTCCTTCAATGCGTTCACTTGATGGTCCGCTTGTGCCTACGCTAGCAGACATTGCCTGGATTGCAGATGATGAAGAGGAGACATATGCGAGAGTGAGGTAAGTCTGTCTGACTGATGCACTTTTCTTCACTAAGTGCATTGATTCTTAATTCCGGTCCTTGGGGGGGCCCCCCAACCCTGCACGTTTAGTATGTCTTTCTTATTTTACACACAAGGATCAGTTCATTGAAATATATGTTAATAAGCTGATGATCTGAATCAGGTATGTTAAGGAAGACATAAGGTACACGAGGTCCGGAGTTGAGAAACACTGACATATAGTCAACATGGCAACAACACACTGCTAGCACATCTTAAGCAAGCCCATTTAACTACTGAGATATTATGACATATAAGTTTCTTTTAAAGAAAATTCCGGACTGCAATTGTGTATATTTTTTAGGAGTGACACTCGTCCACTGAGGCATGAGTGGAGGCCTACGCCACTGCTGGTGATGCACAGAAACTCCTCTGTGCCCAACTTCAGAAGAGAAGGCCGACGCGTGGAGGGATTGAGGAAACCAGGAGTGACTGCTCTGAACCGCACCACAGCGTTACAGGATGAGCTGAGTCGACTCCGAGCGCAGATTGCCAAGATCGTTGCTGCAGATTCAGGTTGAGCAGCTGAATAAAGCTCATTCATTTGTCTAGCTTGTTTTATTTATTTAAAAAATATTTTATTTGTGGTAAGTTAATGCTTAAAGCACACATGAAATCAAAACTAACCGTATTGATTTTGTTAGCTCGCATTGCTAGTTTCGTGGTGAACAATCTAAAACATCTAAAATTGAAATCTGAAAATGCATTCCTGTTTGTTTTCAGTTAAATTCTGAAAGGTATTCAGGTATTGGGCATTGTTAACATACTTAACCACCCCTCTCCAGCTGTCAGTTTTGACAGCGCTATGACAAAAGAGAAATGGTGAAGAGGAGGTGTTTAATATGAAACTCTCCCAAAACTCTTTTCTGGATATTTACTGAATAAAATGCCTATTTTACTACATCCTATCAGCTCACAGTAGAAAAAACAACCCACGCCCACAGTTTTCTCATTTATTATTCGGTTTTTCCAGGAGCTGCATCCCAATCTGAAAAAAATGGTCATAGTTTCCAGTTTATGTGGCCTTTAAGGCAAGACATTTATGCTGAATAGGTTAAAAAACAACTCTGTTCATATCCATGCTTCCCTAATTGAGTTGATTAAGTTAAGAATAAAAATAAGGTCATGATGAGTTATCTAAAAATCTGCTTTAAATATGCAAATTAGCCATTTTTACGGAGCACAAAATTGGCTGCAGTGTCTCGCCTTAAAAGAAATGTGCATTTAGAAAGCACTTTTAAGACTGTCCTGTGGCATCAGAAATGTTATCAATTTGATGTGTAACAACTTTGACCTGTTTCAGATTCAAACCCCATCACCCCTGATCTGCTGTCCCCTGATGACACTAGTATGGGCTTCTCCATGGCTCCATTTGAGACTGCTGCTTACCAGCCCCCTCCCACAGCCTCTTTTGTCATCAGTGATGTCACAGAAGAGGACGAGGAGGAGGAAGAGGAAGAGGACAGAGAGGAGGAGGAGGAGGATGTGTCCGAACTGGTGCCTGATCCAATGCCTCCAGTGTCTATGACGGCATCTGCCACATTTGATCTTGATCGCCCTACGATGGACTTCCGGGAGCCTGAGGAGGACACTGTATCTCTGTCCAAATCAACAAGCTTTGCTGATGTCATGGACATGCTGAAAGACATGAACCGCTTGAAGATGAGCAAGGACAGGTGAGAGCTGCTTCAATCACTATGATATTGACTACGCAGGTTTTATGTATACATTTTTTAATATGTATATATATATATATATGTATATATATATATATATATATATATATAGCCCCCCTTTGAAATATTATTTTTTAAAATATTACCCAAATTATGTTTTAACGGAGTAAGGAAATTTTCACTACATGTCTGATAATTTTTTTTTTCTGAAGAAATTCTTATTTGTTTTATTTTGGCTAGAATAAAAGCAGTTTTTAATTTTTAAAAGTTATTTTAAGGTCAAAATTATTAGCCCCTTTAGGCTATACTTTTTTCGATAATCTACAGAACAAACCATCATTATACAATAACTTGCCTAATTATCCTAACCTGCCTAGTTAACCTAATTAACCTAGTTAAGCCTTTAAATGTCACTTTAAGCTGTATAGTAGTGCTTTGAAAAATATCTAGTAAAATATTATGTACTGTCATCATGGCAAAAATTAGTTATACGAGTTGTGTGTGTGTGTGTGTGTGTGTGTGTGTGTGTGTGTGTGTGCGTGCGTGCGTGCGTGCGTGTGTGTACTATTTATTTTACTACTACAAGTTAAAACATTGTTATTATTTGTATAACCTGAAATGGTTGACGATTATTACTGTCATTGTTATTATTATTGTAACTATTATAAAAATAATAATGTTATAGCATTTTGGTTTGGTTTATTATAGATAAATGCTAAAATAATAAAATAAAATGGTATTTATTTACCTTTTTAATGTTCACTTGTAATATTATCAGTAAAATGTGTATTCTAAATATTATCATCATTGTAAACATGTTAATGTGTAAGTAAGCTGCATTGGTATTATAAAATTAATATTTAATAATAATAATAATAATAATCATCATCATCTTTAATAATAATATAGCAATAAACAATTAAATTGATGATGGTAGTTATATTAAAAATATACACTGATACAGGGTATCTGCAGGGTCTTAAAGTCTTAATGTCTTAAATTTCAAAAACACTACTTTAGTCCTTAAAACGTTTTAAAATCACTGAAATATTTTCTTGTAGGTCTTAAATCATTTTAAACGGGTCTTACATTTCCTTTTGTTTATATAAAGCTACCCTATTGATTTACTGTAAAACACATCCAATTACCAACAACATATGTCAATAAAACTATTAGCAAAACTACTCATAACTAATATTAAAACTGTAGTTTGTTGTGCAAACATTTAGTTTTTAAAGAGTTTTTTAAGTAGTGTTGAACAAAAATGTACAGTTAAAGTCAGAATTATTAACCCCCCCCCACCCCCCCACCCCCTTTTTTTTTTTTTTTTTTTTTTTTTCCAATTTCTGTTTAGCGGAAAGATTTTTAGCGGAAAGACAATTTAGCATACCCAATTCAACTGTACCCCATGTCTTTGGACTGTGGGAAACCGGAGCACCCGGAGGAAACCCACACGAAGGCAGGGAGAACATGCAAACTCCACTCAGAAATGCCAACTGAGCCGAGGTTCGAACCAGCGACCTTCTTGCTGTGAGGCGACAGCACTACCTAGTGCGCCACAGCCTCGCCGGCAGTAAATAATATTTTATTAGATTATTTTCTAACTGTATTCAGCTCAGAGAGCAATTTAAAGGCTTAGCTAGGTTAATTAGGTTAACTAGACAGCTTAGGCTAATAAGAGAAGTTAATGTATAATGATGATTTGTTGTTTACCAAAATAAAACAAATAAGACTTTCTCCAGAAAAAAAATTTAATCTGACTTGCTGTGAAAGGTTCATTGCTCTGTTAAACATAATTTGGGAAATATTTAAAAAAAGAAAAATCAAAGACGGGCTAATAATTCTGACTTCAACTGTATGTATAAAACTAAGGTCTGCTTGTTTTGAGACATTATTTAAAATATATGTCTAAGAAATTACTAATTAGATTTTTTTTGTCTTCTGCCATTAAAAAATCATTAGGGTCTGCCATCTAGCCCTATATTAGTCTGAAATTTCATTCTTCATGGTCTTATTTTGTTTTAAATTTGACATGGTGAAACCTGAAGACAACCTGTGATAGCTAGTAATTATCAAATGGTGTGTGTGTGTGTGTGTGTGTGTGTGTGTGTGTGTGTGTGTGTGTGTGTGTGTGTGTGTGTGTGTGTGTGTGTGTGTGTGTGTGTGTGTGTGTGTGTGTGTGTGTGTGTGTGTGTGTGTGTGTGTGTGTGTGTGTGTGTGTGTGTGTGTGTGTGTGTGTGTGTGTGTGTGTGTGTGTGTGTGTGTGTGTGTGTGTGTGTGTGTAGATATAAAATGTTATTGTGATGTGTGTGAAATGAAAACAAGTAGGCTATATTGGTCCTATAAGGTTGTATGTATTCATTATTATTATTATTATTAATAATAATGCTGATAATAATAATAATAAATAGTTGTTGCATTTGTCTAGTTAAAAAACATGTATAAATGCAAATGAAATAAATATTTATTTACCTTTACTATTTTTTTAATAATATATTATCAGTAAAATATATATTGTAATAATTATCATCATTGTAAACATGCTTTTTTGTTTTGTTTAAAGTTAAGTGGGCTATATTCATGGTAAACATTTATATTTTATCATTATAGTAATTTATAAAAATATTAAAATGTGCATTTATTAATATCGTTTTGTGATTTTAAAATATATATTAAAAATAGAACTATATGTTGGTATATCCTAAATTTTTCATTTACAATAAAGCTATAAACAATTCTAATGGTGATGGTAATTTGTGTTAATATTATAAATTTATAGTAAGAGTTTATTCATCAAATTGTTGCGTTGTGTGTGTGTGTTTAGATATAACCGTGGATGCACTTCACTAAGAGAGGAAGATTCTGCCTCTCTAATATCTGAAGCGCTGAGGAAAAAATTTGTCCTGAAAGACGATGACATCAGCATGAGGAAATAATCTAGAATCCAAACCCTCTGCAGACTCTCCATGTAAGGCTGAACTGCATGGATATATCTCATATTCGGTTTAAAGTCCCATTTAGACCTACAAAACCAAGTGAATAAAGCATGGACGTGGAATTTTAACTACTTTTCTGTTCTTAAGTCTTTTTTTTTTCTACTGGCTCAATAGGCCTGTGCCTGTGGACTGTTGCGATGGAAACCCCATAAAGCCTCTGAATAGATGGAGATCTTCTGCATTCTTCAGCGCTCCCACACTGGTGGTGACATGGCTAGAAGCAAAAGATGAAGCTCTTTTCAACAAACACGTGCACACACACATACACACCCACTCCAACATATGTGTGTGTGCAGGTGAATAAGGGTCCATAAAGATAGCCTTTACACACAGCAGATCACTCGACCTCCAATTCAGCAAAAAATCCAGCACTACTTCCCAAATTCTTTAATAATCCAAATTTCACGCCGTATTATTCAAGCCACGAAACCAGAGAAGATTCCTGGGAGAGCCCAGTTTTGTAGACGTGTAGTTTGAAGCTGTATCTCTTGCCTTACACGTTCCCTCATTCTCAACCCTGTTATACTTGAAGCCGTTATGAAGAGTGATCTGATGATATGCTAACACACTGACTTTCCATTTTGAGACAAAGCAAGACGACGTTCTTCTATTTAAAGGGTTTTTGCGTGTGTGCATGTGCACCGAAGACTTCAAGATTACATTCACTTGTAATTAGCACTCTGTGATGTTCCCTTTTTTGAAGCGTGTATATTTTGCCAGAAGACTGATGTGGTACTGTTACATGAGTTTGAGTTTATAACGCGTGTGTGGTTTACTTTTAGCAAGTATATTGAGAGAGCTATTTTTGTTTTGTTTTTTATTGCGTGTGCAGACAGGTTGTAAGAATTTGTGTTCGTCTGAATAGCATGTGTGATGTGATGCTGGATGTGAGCCAGATTTGCGGACGCCTCATGTTTTATATGATGATGAAGGGCGCTACATTTTTCTTGTTTTGCAATGTGTAACAAGCAGTCGTTTTAAACCATACACAGCTTTTGTGCCATGAATACTTACTCCCAAGTGGGAATCAAACCTAAAATGTGCTTTGACACTCTTGTTTGGACCTGCTTGCAGCCTTTTCTTACCTGTCTGATATGATGTGTTACGCCACAGTAATCTAGCTTTGTTAAATTCCTTACTATTTAGTTCTCTTCATCATTTGTTTCAGAGCCACAACTACCAATAATTCATGCACTAGTTTACAGTATAACTATTTTCATATCAGAGTTCTATTGGTATATATGAATCTGATTAAAGTCATCATTAATGATAATAGAGCTGTAATTGAAACTGTTGTATCATGCACTGAACATACTAGCATATGTTCCTGTACCCGTCAGAGTAACGGGTAAACGCGCGTGTGTGTGTGAGATTCTGAATGCTGGGTTTCATTTCTAGGCTGAACCATAGGACACACTTCAAAATTGCTTTCATTTAAGGCAGCGTTGGCTGTTTCATGGTCTCTTTTAGAGGACAGAATCTTGTGTAATTGCGTGTTTGCCGTTTCTCAAATAAGGGAATTCTGTCTGTATGTTGTTTGTACGCAAGACAGGAAAACAATAAATGGTTAAAGTCATTATAGTACGTTCAATTTTGTTCCGTGTTGTTGTGACGATCAGCAGCCACGCGGGCGCGCCATTTTCTATAGTTTCCACAAATGTTAAATGTCCACTTGTCTTGCGCTATGATACATTAAGATAGCGAACAGTGACTAGAAAAGCATAATTGTTATTAAAATAAGCTTTGCGACTTAAAATATAAAAATATCCAAAAAAGACCGTACAGTCAGCATATTTTAATGATACCTGGAGAATCATTTGACCCTATGAACTGCTGAAATCCAGCTTTACCATCACATAAATTAATGACAATTAAGAATATATAAAAAATCGGTTTTAAACAGTAGTTTGGGCATGCAATTAACTAAAACCATTTTAGTCAAATTTATTTTATTTTATTTTTTCAATTTCACTGCGGGTTCACATTGGGGCTGCACAATATATCGTTTCAGAATTGGATTTGATATTGCGATCCGCAATTGTCACATCGCAAAGATTTGCAATGTTAAGTCTGGATTATATTGACCAGGAGCAACAGAAATGTATTTAATGACAATTAAGAAAATAATAAAATCTTTCTAGTCCCAATATCTTCATTTCAATGTGAAAACAGGTTTATTTACCTTTATTTTATTTACCTTACCCCACTGGCAGATTTGTGTTAAGTAAAAAAATCTTATTTTTGCCTTATTTCATCTGAATTTTAAAACGATATTAATCTAAGACATTTTTTAGATATTTGGACTAGAAATGAGACGAAGCAAAGCATTTTTTGCATTGTGATTATTTAATTTCTGTACCTGAATACTAAAACAGTCCAAAATTGCTAATCAACTATCTTGTGAAACTGTAGTTACATCACAACATTTATCACAGAAAACTAATATATTGTGATATCAGATATTTCCAGTATCGTGCAGCCCTAGTTCACATGTACAAAAAGTTCATGTTTATGAATATATAATCCTAGTGTAGCTCCTAAGAGTTAACCTCTGGTTGACTGAAACACCAAGGAGCTATTTGGTGCAATCATAACTGATGATATAAGTGATGTTTATTGACATTTCTTTACTTCAAAACCTTTTCCTGTTGAGTTTTTGTCCCCACACCCCCTAGTTTTGAAGGAAGATCTGTTTTATGCCATTTTAAATTGTCTGTAATGTCTATAATGTCGACTCTCCTGTTTCCTGCTGAGGTTGGAGTTGTTTTAATCGCAACTGTAATGCATCTCAGTGCTTGTGCTTGAATATCATCTCACCTATTAAGCATACTGACTAATGCAGATCCATAAATAATTCATCCATAATCTAAAACAGATCATAGAGCTCCACAGTAAGTGATCATTGATTGTTTATCTGCCCCCCATTCTTGGCCTACTTTGTCATCAAGGGGTATTTATATGCTGGAACAAGTGTGCACTAATGTAAAAACTTACTTAATTGGCTGCTTGATCAAAAGAGAATAACACAACTCTAAGCCTAGTATAAAATACTATGGTATTTGTCAGTAGGTTGTTTTGGTTAGACCAGGGCTGTCTTAACTCAGTCCTGGAGGGCCGATGTCCTACATACTGTAGTTTAGCTCCAACTTCCTACAACACACCTCCCTGGAGGTTTCTAGTATACATAGAAAGAGCTTGATTAGCTGATTCAGGTGTTTAACTGGGGTTGGAAACAAAATATGCAGGGCACAGGCCCTCCAGAACTAAGTTTGGACACCCCTGAGTTAGACTGACGTTTGATTACTCTAAACCAGGGGTGTCAAACTCAGTTCCTGGAGAAGCTCAGCCCTGCACAGTTTAGTTCCAACCCTGCTCCAACATACTTGAGCATCACACTGCACTTTTCTCCCCATAGACTTCTTTTCATACACATGCGAATGTGAACTGCGACAAGTTTTCGCCGTTCGCTGCGTTGCAAAGTTCAAGTTTGGTAAACTCTGAGCTGCGAAATCGCATCACATGATCGTGTGAGGTCAACTGATAATCAAAACATGACCTCTCTGGACAGAAATTTAAAACATAAACTAATCGCTCGCTTTTTTTTAAATGTCTAATCATCTTGTTTAATCCTGCCCCTTTTCGCAGCGCTGTAATACAGAATTTTGCACGCACAAACTTTAGTGCGACCGCACCATCACCTGTAGGTTTCAAACAAGCCTGAAGGACTCAATTGATCAGGTGTGTTTTATTAGGGTTGCAACTAAACTGTGCAGAGCTGTGGCCCTCCAGGAACTGAGTTTGACACATGTGCACTAAAGCACAGCTGAAACAAACACAACTTTTAAGATCATGTATGATCAAGTCCAAAACTTGCCAAAGACACCTTTTTAATCTTTTTTTGGAGGCTTACGTGACCGATAAAAACTAACAAACATAGAAAAAACACAAAACCATCATACAGATATACCAACAATATTATCAGTGCAACAATACTGATTTTGGGAAACATTGTGTTTTAAGCTACAATTCTCGCTATTAACAAGCATTAACTAAGACTTTTCGCTCAAACTACTAATATGCTGATCATTAATAGTAAGATAGTAGGTAGAAATTAATTATTGGGTAAGTTTAGGTATATAAAATATAATGTAATATAATAATATACCAGTAGTTAAAGGGATAGTGCACCCCAAACTGAAAATGTACTCATTTACTCTGAGTCTGTATGATATACTTTATTCTGTAGAAAACAAAATAATGCACTTTCAAGCAAGTTGAAGACAACCATTAACTTCCATAGTAGAAACAAATACAATGTAAGAAAATGGTTACAGATTTCCAGCTTTCCTCAAAATATTTTCTTTTGTGTTCAACAGAATTAAGTCAAACAGGTAGAGGAAGAGTAAATGATCACAGAATATATCTGTTTAATTGTGGTAATTGGTACTTATTAAAGCGTTATTGGTTATGTAGTTTTGCCATTGATAGCAGTATATTTCATTATTTACGGTATAGCACTCACAGAAGGTTTGTATCTTCAGCCATTTTAGGTTGAAGTTTTAATGGTTTATTAAGTCCCACCATCCTCTCTGAATGCAACAGTTGCTAAACTAGACATTACCGGTTGCTAAAACAAGCAATTACTTTTCTGTGACACCTCATAAACATGTCAGCTAGTGTCTGCGTTCAGTGTCCTGTCAGGGAAAATGATGAGGCCTCTCTACCTCTACTACTGAATCTCCTGCACCTATCAGAGCACAGGGACCCTCATTACTCCTCAGGGATGCCCGTGACTTCGAAGATTCTAGTTAGCCTCCTTTTTTAATTTTTTCGCAAAGACCTGATTTGATCCAGGCCAATTTCAGTGTTCAGTCTATTTTCTGTGGCAGTCCTTGGCCTACTTTATTACACCTTACCTCTGGAAAGCAGATTCTGTCTATTTTAGATCAGAGAGGATTTTTAGACGCCTGTGGAGATTTTGTTTAATGGAGTCCAGTGACACAGTGGCATTGTTTGACTATAAATATTGACCTTTGCGTGACATTGACACAATAATTTAGCCTGTTGC